CTCAAAAGAACAGAAAAAACTGGGATTTGTAACTGTTTAAATCAATTAATACATTTTACTGCGAGTTATTACTTAAACACTAATCGAATTTACGAAGTTACAAAAATGCTGATATTTTCATTCGATGCATCGAAAATATCGATGTTTTTATATGATACATCGATGCGTATCGATGCTATATTTTGATGCATCAAACCAAAGAAAACATCGATGTATTTTTTTGATTTGCATCCCTACTTTTATGTAAAGTCATTCGTAACAACCAAGATTATCATTTTTTTATTTAGAGTATTCAGCATATTGTTTTAATTGTGGATATAATTTAGCAAAATTCAAAGAAAAGTCACATGCATTTCATAGATAAAAGTTCTTTTAATACTGAGTCAACATTAACATCCACATTTCGATGAATATTGAGAAAAGCTAACCCATTGTATGCTCGTTCTCTGCCCATGCCTGCACATTAGCCTGCGCCTTAGTTGTATGGAGAACATGTTTTGTTATTTGCAACTTCGTCCCACAAAGCAAGACTCCCCCTAAAAATGTTCCTTTGGTCATAAAAACGAGCCCTGCGAAAAACTTTTAAAATCGGACAACGGAAAGACGCTCCTAGAAAGGCCCTAAAGTTCAGCATTTTCATTCAATTTTTCACAAAGTGGTCAAAATTTCCTATAAGTCAGTAGGAAATTTAATATATTTTAATGGCACTTAATGTAGTTTTGCCCCCGATGTCAAATATGGGTAACCAATTTTTAAACCTCCACAACTTTTAAAGTTATTGAGGGTTTTCCACGTAAAATTACAATTTTCTAGGAATTCAGATGTTGAATTTTAGCCAAGTAAATTTAGATTAAATTGGTACGATGAAAAACATTTTTAGTAGCGAACTTTAGATGCAATTTACTTCTTTTTGACACGCAGATCATGGATCCACAGTCTCGCCCCTAATTTTAATACCGGTACACGCCACTATCTTGGATTTTAGGTTTTTTGGGGTTTTTGCGATGTGCAAGCTTATTTTGCATTTTTCGTAAAAACGGTTGTATACAAATTTGTAGAGAATTTAATTTCCCACATTTTTTATATACAAACTTAAAAAAAAATAATTTTTATTGCAAATTTTTTACGGTTTTCGCCATTTTTCAACAATTTCTGATAAAAATGCGTAGCATATTCAAATTCCAAAGTTATAGGGAACTTTTCTCTTTTAGTGTTGGGTTCTCCGGTGACACAAAAGTTGTAAAGCAAAATCTAATTTACGGTTAGTTTAGATGCCACATTCGACACGCTATGTTGAATTTTTTAAAAGGCCTCACGGCTTTTTCCCAAAAACCTCAATAAGTTTACCTGATGGAGAGGTTTAAAGATACTGCAGCTATTTTTGACATCGGGCGACACAACTCCATCAAGTGCCATTAAAATATATTAAATTTCCCACTGACTTGTAAGCAAAATATTGACCGATTTGTGAAAAATTCCATGAATTTGCTAAACTATAGGGCCTTTGAGGCACGAGGCAAATGAACTTTTCTAGGGGGAGTTTTCCTTTGTAGGACAATGTTGCAAAATAAGGCGCAGTCAAAGCACATGCATGATTATATTCATCCAATTATTTTGCAAAACTATAACTAAACAGTGGAGCAAAGGGTGTGATAGACCACATAAGGAAACATTTCTGTAGAAAAAACGGAAGTCTGAATTTGTGCTCACTTTTAATGAATAACACAGCCCAACAAAAATATAAAAAAAAATTTGGTAGGGTAAATGTTAAAGCTGTTTTTGATAGATTTTTGTATGCTGATTACGAATCCGTAAGCATAAAGTTTCCAGCAGCTCCAGATTTTGAATAAAAATGAGGTCAAAGTGTCAAAAAATCGTGGTTATTGCAATATTTTAGAAGCTCTAGCAAAGAAACAAAAGGTAATAGAACCTTCTGTAACACTATCGATGGTACTATCGATACTATTGAATGGTTCTATATTTTTGAACTATCGAATGGTCATTGGCCACTATCGATAGTATTTATTTGAGGAAATATACATATTGTTTATATTATATGTACAGTATATTTTGCTTTGCTGCCTTTATTATGCTTAAGTGCACATTTAAGATACCTACCCCAAAATTCGCATCTGAGACATTATTTTTAACATTTATAAGAAAAATGCTCCGATAGATGCATTCAACATACCTGCCCATTGGCGATACCTACCTTAAAAATTGTGCAACTAGTATCAATTATCAAAGAAAGTATTACGTTTACCTGCACTGGCCCTACAATTACCTAATTTTACAAGCTTTTATTTATTTTGCTCATATCGCAGAACAACGAAAATGGCTATCAATTTATGTAGTTATATAGATAATAAGATACCATTCGAAAAAAATTTCGTGATAAGTGCTTCCCCATTATTTGGTTTCATAGGGATTCGGATACCTTCCTCATTGAAGTAGTAAAGAAAATTCGCTTAAGTGCCCTTTTCGGTTAGGTGCACAAGTTTTTCGTGCAAAGAAGTATGTGCAGCTAAGCAAAATATACTGTACTACTTACTTGGTGTGCATTTCTTTATTTTTGAAAATGGGAATTTGGCAACATTGATTTGCTTACACATCAGTATTTTTTTACCTATTACCGGGTTTTACACGGAAGAGAGGGATTGAGAAGAAAAGGCAAGAGCACATATGAGTCATTCTTTTTTAAGTCGGGCGGGTTTCGTAAAAAAAATTATGTCATGGCTCCGATTCGCTTATATTGCCACGCCCATTTCTAGGATTTTTTCGCCTTACAGAAGAATCTTGCCTATCTATCTTCTGAATAGGTATTCTATCGGAATCCGCAATAAAATTTTACTTTTGGCAGAAACCCGATGTTCAATACCTTACTAAATATATCTGATCATAAGTTTTCGAAAATAAATTACAAAAAATTGCTGATTCTCACAAAATAAACCATCTCATCATAAAGACAAATATTTTAAAAATAGTTCTTGAGAAACCTTCATTTTTATGACGCACGTTTTTTATGGAGAACTAAACAACGATTACGATGGTATAATATTAAATACCTAATTTACTGGTCTTCACTATGCAAATCAACTTCAAAAAGTTCAGCTGTAAATAGCTAAGTTAGCTTTAGGACAATCTTGACCATTTTATATGTAGAAATGTTAAGCCCGTTTCTTTAGCTTTAAAACGACGTTAAGATGAAGTCTGTACGATGAGAAGAACCCGAGATATAACGATTTGAAGAAATACATGATTAGCCAGAATCACGAAAAAATGCAAAGTCTGACAGATCATCAGGGTTGGTGTGGAAATCAAGTCAGATTGGTTTAACTGTCCGAATTACAAACCAATTCTGATTTTTAGTGGTGTCGCAGAATCTGATTGGATTTTCCTATGTTCGAACATACGTAAAACCAATATACGAATTAGCTGTTTACTTATGTGACAAAACTTGCAAATCGCAAATTTCCAAAGTATTAAATAAATTTTAGTATAGAACAAGTTTTAAAGGTCCATTTAAAAAAAATAATAAGTTTAAAATGAGTGCCGCTATTGTAGCTTTTATTTTATTAGAAAGCAGTGAAAATGTAAAACGGAAGATTTTAAGGGATCTCAGTAATCCACTTGATGTCCCAGGGGAATCGTAAGTGTAACTTACCTTGCATGTACATATTTACATGCTAAACTAAACTTATTTTACACTGTGGGAAATAATGCATAGTAAAAATGAATACTTTATATTTGATTATCGTTTAAAAATGTTCGTATTTAAAAATAATATTTTCATACAAAATTTATTACGCACGTATTTGACTGTTCACATCTGAGTATGCATATGTAAGTGTACATACGCACCCCAAGCATGCAGAGCACCACTCTGAGAGCGGCGACAACACACACATACATACATAGTACAAATCGCGTGCTGTGGTGTTGATGGATATTCAACATTTGAAAGTAAATTTGTATGCCTGGGTGTAGCTGAGTGCTCAAAGATGCTTGCCACAAGTTGTTGATATTGTCGGGTTCGAATTCCACTGCAGGCAACATGCAAATAATTTTTTTTTTTAATTTTTGTCTTGATTATTCACTTCGCGGAGGCTTTTTCAGTATGAAAGCGGTCATTTTAATATGCGCGTAATTGAATTGAATATTTACCAATATACAGTACTTGACGTTTATAGTAAGATCAATTACGTTTCTATTTGATTTTAATATTTTTTTCCCTCTGTGTACAGATTTGTGCATTTGTATTTTAACCGAAAGGGATATTTTAGTATAAATGCGATGATAGTATTTAAGAATAACAAAATACTTATATGCACCTTTTATACAAACATATTTATTAATGTACATGTGTATGTGTTTTCTCCAAAGATTTGTGACAACGGTTCAAGTCACGATGCTTTTATTTGGAGCATAAGCGATGCAAAACCATATTTTGGTGCACAATACGAGAGAGGTGATCGTTCATCAAGGTTGCTGGGTGATTGTGGTTATGGAATTGAACCATATTTACTAACACCTTATAGAGATGCGCGGTTTAACTCTAAGGAGCATAACATCTGTAGGCATTATAAAGTTGAATGTAATCTAGAAGAAAACGTATTTCGTGCAAGTGAAACTAATGAGGGCAATGAATTTTCATCGGATAGTGGAACAATGCAAAGCGAAGGCCGTAGAATAAGAGACGAAATAGCCAATACCTTGTAATTCAAGTAATTTATTAATTATTTAACTTTTTTCTACGAACATATATTTAAAACTATAATATTCTTCATGACTAAATGAAAATAAGTCTTCAATTTTAAAACTAAGGCACTAAAAAGTTAATTCGCAACCACTTTCGTTATAGTACTATTTATTCTTATGTGGTAATCACTTGTTTGCAGTTTGCCTTTTGTATTCAAATTTTAATATTTCGAGATCCAGTTATCTCTTTTAATCTCATTTTTTTCCGCAAGATTTCTTAATATTCGTGTACCAATACTTACGAATTCGTCTTTAATTTCTGTTACAGCTTTTGCGACGGAGTCGTTACTCTTTTCAATTGTTCGGCAGATACCTCTCAAGCTGCTTGCGTTTTCCTTTTGGATATTTATTAGTTCATCGAGCTTTTCGTTTGTTTCAGTTTTTCCATTATTATCGTCGTCCAAAAATCTTTTTAAGCGGTCCGATAAGCTCTCCGATTTTTGCCTTTTCGGTGTACTGCAATTGTTTGCATTTTCAGTTTTTCGCTTTTCCGATGTGGAGGGCATATCCATGTCCACATCCGCCTCTACAACAGCGTCACTTACAAATGCATTTGCTGAATGGGTGCCAAGTGAAACGCCCGTTATACCCTCCACTGTCTGCGCAATGCCATATAAACGCACAATGGTTTCCTCTGTTTGGGTCAGCTGGTATTTGGAGAAGGGTTCACCCCCAGTTGTCCGACTCTCCATTTTGTTGTGAGCTAGTTTTCTTTTTATCTCGCTCTTGCACTCGGTAATAATCTAAATAAATAAAAATTTGTTTGAATGGCAAGTTTAATTTGCACTGAAGTTTATTAAGTGCAGAGTTATTTACCTTTTTCCACCCATTAATATCTTTATTACTATTATTAATATAAATATTATTAATATATTATGTGAGAAGTGGGCGTGGTTACGTTCCGATTTTGCCCATTTTCAATACCAACCTACCTTGGATAAATGGAAACCAACATACCAAATTTCGTTGAGATGTCTAAATTTTTTATCGAGTTATCGTACACACGGATGGACGGACAGACGGACAAACGGATGGACAGACAGACATGGCTTCATCGACTTCTCTATTCATTCCGAGCATTTATGTATACATTTGTCTATATCTATCTCGATTCGTTTTCGCTGTTACAAACAACCGTTATGTGAACAAAATTAATATACCCTTGTGCACAAGTCCGCTCGGGAATAAAAGTAGAACCTTTTCGACTAACCAGTTGGCCTTGCTTTAGCCATTTAACTTCGGCACCGTGGAAATAGACAAAAAGTAGCGTCAGAAAGTTCAATTTGACATACATACATACATTTATACAGCCCCATTCTGAATACTCCCAGGGAGTTTGTTCTCCGGGAAATTGTTTCTCCCGAGAAAGAAATCCTCCAATAATTAACTCCCAGGAGGTAGCATTTTCCCCGAAAATTTGGAATGAGAAAATTCAAACTCCGCAAGAGCTGTTTGTTACTTTTTTGACATCTCAATTCCGCCATTTAATAATTTAATTTTATTCATGATAGGAGGAAAGGTAAAAGAGAGATATTTCCCAGGGAGTTCCTGTTCAGAATCGGCCTGATAGTATCTACATACCCGTTGTTTTAATTTTTTACGTTGACGAAGAGTTTTACGCGATTTCTTATTCTATAAGTAATCTTGTGCAAGCCTAAAAAATGGTTACTATTGAAGATTAAAATAAAAAAACAAAGCTCAATAAAAATATTTAAAAAAAAATGTTTTTTTTTTTCAAATTTCTCGTTTGATGTAATATATTTTATCCGAAATTTTGCAGGCGATCGCCCCCATCGCCCCCTGTATCCGAGAGAAAGATTTTGCGGAAGATTTTTGGTCCTATACGCGTTGGTGATGGCGAGTACCGCAGACGATGAAACGATGAGCTGTACGAGCTTTACAACGCCATGGACATAGTACAGCGAATTGAAATACAGCGGCTCCGCTGACTTGGCCATGTCATTCGAATGGACTTCGACGCTCCAGCTCTGAAAGTATTCAACTCGGAACCCGCTGGTGGTAGCAAAGGAGGAGGGAGGCCCCCACTGCGTTGGAAAGACCAAGTGGAGAAGGACTTGGCTTCGCTTGGTATTTCCAATTGGCGTCAGTTGGCACAGAAGAGAAATGACTGGCGTGATTTGTTGAACTCGGCCAAAATCGCTTAGGCGGTTACAGCGCCAAATAAAATGAAGAAGAAGATGAGATAATGAACCAAAGCAAAAAGTCTCGTTTTCCAAAAACTAAAGCTTAACCATGATTCAGCAATATCGGTATATACATATGTACATTAGACTGCATAACTCCCCATACAAAAAAAATCGGTACTATTTTTCCATTGGAATTATAAAATCTATTATATTTTAAGACGCCCACCAAAATATTTCGGGAAAATATTAAGATTTAAGTGAGCTGGACCGATTTGAAAATACCTCCAAAAATGGAGTTTTTTATGAATAAAAATAGTTTCTTAAAGTTTTTTTTTGACAAAATCCCCTCAAATGACAAAACGGTTTAAGCTTAAAATATTTGCATAAAAATAATAAAAAAATCTAAAAAAAATTTGAACGGAGTCGTAATGATGAGATTTTTGATGCTGTTTTTTAACTTTTTTCAAAGATTGGTATAGGAAAAACTTGAATAACTGCACCTAAACTCTTCCGATTTAGACTTAGGAGGTGTCATTGGAAAGGTACCTCCTAATATTTCCTCCCGTAAATTAGACGAACTCCACAACAGTGACCATTTTCCCCTTATAACAACATTTTCAATCCCCGATTGGTACGAAATCAAGCCACGATCAGAATTTTTAACAGATAGAGACGACTGGTTTCATTCTTCCTTCGTATCTTTATCGAATAATAAACCGGTGTCAAAAAAACGTCAACGCAGAAGCTGGATAAAATATCCTACGCTATATTAAAAAACCTACCCGGTATCAGACTTGTAAATCTTTACAATGAAATATTCAATGCCGGAATTTATCCCCAAGAATGGAAAACTGCCTTAATTGTCCCTATCCCTAAACCCAACAAACCCTCTGCCCTCATCACGAACTTAAGACCTATCTCTTTGCTCCCTTGCATGTCCAAAATCCTTGAGAAGATTATTTCCGTTCGAATCCTGTGGTTCGCTAAAGCAAATGGACTTCTTAGTCCACACCAATTTGGCTTCCAAAAAGGAATAGGTGTTAACGAGTCGCTTTTATATTTCGAACATTTCCTATCCTCGGCATTAGCATCAGGTAATCACGTTTCCGTACTAAGTTAAGACTTTGAGAAAGCATTCGATAGAATCGGGATCCATGTTGTTCTCAACCAACTCAATCGCTGGAAAATTGGAAACAAAATATATAAATTCGTGAAATCCTTTTTGAGTAACCGCAAGTTTTCAATCAGCATTAATAACTGCAAGTCACAGGCACATAGCCCTTTAATGGTATACCGCAAGGTTCACCTCTCTCAGTGACATTGTTTACCATAGCATTTAACGAAATAATCTCAATTATCGCTTCTAATGCCGTTGTAGAGCACCTTATATATGCTGATGATGTTTTAATATTTTCTAAATTAAAAGATCTTTACAAAGTCACTAATGCCTTCTCGAACATTCTAAATGGCATAAGCAAATGGTCAGAAACATCAGGTGCCAATATATCAGAAAGTAAATGCTCCACTTTTCATATGTGTAGAAAACGTGTTGCTTCCCCAGTTTGTCCTTCCAATGCATTAATCCCACATACTAACACACTAAGGATTTTAGGCTTAATATTCGACAAAAAACTTACATACAAGGAACATTGTAAAGCCACTAGAATAACCTTATTGTCAAGACTTAATATAATTACGTTTTTATCATCTAAGCATTGCCATGTTCATCCACACACGCTTGTAAATATAACAAAAGCCCTGTTATTATCCAAAATTGATTTTGGACTTTGTATTTACAGACATTGTGCAAAAGCAAATATGAAACTTCAAAGTCCTCCTTACTATGCGGCAGCTCGAAGGAGTATTCGCGCGTTCCCGACATCGCCAACAAAAGCTGTTCTTGAGGAAGCCGGATCACCGGATATAGCCCACAGAGTCAAGCGCAACACGATGATGCTCCTACCCAAGCTTCTGCACTGCAGAAATGAAGCCTTACTCGCACAGATAAACTCAGCGGTGCAAGACTCAAGAAGTAGCTGTAAACCGTCCACCATACAACGTTCTGTTGCACAACTTCACAAACATAATGTCATATCAGACGCGACATTGGCACCGATTCCAGCTTTCCCGCCATACTTGAATCCAGAAACGTTTTTTATCACGGATTTGCTAAGGTTCTCCAAAGAGTCCACTTCTGCTAATGAATACGTCCAACATTTCAATGAAAGGGAGTTGATTTACAAAGCCGGATCTAAAACAGAGACCAGTGCTTCGTTTGCAGTTACAAGCCAACTTGGTGTCACCATCTCTGTGGGTACATTACAATCCTACTGCTCGGTATTTACAGACGAAGCAGCTGCAATGCTTGAAGCAGTACTATATGCCTCCACTAAAGGCGGCAAGTTCATCATTTGCAGCGACAGTAAATCTACCAGGAAACGTACAACATTGACTGGCACAATTACGAACACCACTACAAAACGCACAATCCTACTGGAATCAAACCTTTGTACCGTACCTACATGTCTTGCCATAGCCTTAAGATATTGGGAGTGTCTATTCGCACTTTGCCAGTGTCACTAGTGTACCAGTGTACCAGTGTCACCAGTGTCGTCAGTGTCGCCAGTGTCACCAGTGTCGACAGTGCCGCCAGTGTTACCAGTGTCGCCGGTGTCACCAGTGTCGCCAGTGTCACCAATGTACCAGTGTCGCCAGTTTCACCAGTCCCACCAGGGTCACCAGTTTCCCCAGTGTACCAGCGTCACCAGTTTCACCAGTGTCGCCAGTGTCACCAGTGTCATCAGTGTACCATTGAAACCAGTGTACCAGTGTACCAGTGTACCAGTGTCGCCAGTGTCACCAGCGCTACCAGTGCCACAAGTGTCGCCAGTTTCACCAGTGTCGCAAGTGTCGCCAGTGTCGTGTACCAGTGTCACCAGTTTCACCAGAGTCACCAGTTTCACCAGTGTCGCCAGTGTCACCAGTGTACCAGTGTCGCCAGTGTCACCAGCGCCACCAGTGCCACAAGTGTCGCCAGTGTCGCCAGTGTCACCAGTGTACCAGTGTTGCAAGTGTCGCCAGTGTCGCCAGTGTCACCAGTGTCACCAATGTCACCAGTGTACCAGTATACACTGGCCAGTGCCACCAGTTTCACCAGTATCGCCAGTGTCACCAGTGTCGACAGTGCCGCCAGTGTCGCCAGCGTACCAGTGCCACCAGTGTCACCAGTGTACCAGTGTTGCAAGTGTCGCCAGTGTCACTAGTGTCGCCAGTGTCACCAATGTCACCAGTGTACCAGTGTCGGGAGTCTTCGGCTCTTCCAATTTCACCAGTGCACCAGTGTACACTGGCCAATGTCGCCAGGCTCACCAGTGCCACCAGTTTCACCAGTGTCACGTGTTTTACCAGTGTCGCCAGTGTCACCAGTGTACCAGTGTCGGCAGTGTCACCAGTGCACCGGTGTCACCAGTGCACCAGTGTACCAGTGTCACCAGTGTCACCAGTGTCGCCAGTGTACCAGTGTCACCAGTGTCGCCAGTGTCCCAGTGTCACCAGTGTACCAGTGTCGCTGGTGTCACCAGTGTACCAGTATCCCTGGTGTCACCGGTGTCGCCAGTGTCACCAGTGTACCAGTGTACCAGTGTCGCCAGTGTCACCAGCGCCACAAGTGTCGCCAGTTTCACCAGTGTACCAGTGTTGCAGTGTCGCCAATGTCGCCAGTGTCACTAGTGTCGCCAGTGTCACGGGTATCACCAATGTCACCAATGTCACCAGTGTACCAGTGTCGGGAGTCTTCGGCTCTGCCAATGTCACCAGTGTACCAGTGTACACTGGACAGTGCCACCAGTTTCACCAGTGTCGCCAGTGTACCAGTTTCACCAGTTTCACCATTGTCACCAGTGTACCAGTGTCACCAGTTTCACCAATGTCACCAGTTTCCCCAGTTTCACCAGTGTCGCCAATGTCAAAAGTTTCACCAGTGCCCCAGTGTCACCAGTGAACCAGTGTCGTCAGTGTCACCAGTGTCGCCAGTGTCACCAGTGTCGACAGTGCCGCCAGTGTACCAGTTTCACCAGTGTCGCCCGTGTGTTAGTGCCACCAGTGTCGCAAGTGTTACCAGTGTCGCCAGTGTACCAGTTTCACCAGTGTCACCAGTTTCCCCAGTGACCCCAGTATTACCAGTTTCACCAGTGTCGCCAGTGTCACCGGTTTCACCAGTGTCGCCAGTGTACCAGTTTCACCATTGTCACCAGTGTCGCCAGTGTCACCAGTGTACCAGTGTCGCTGGTTTCACCAGTGTCACCAGTTTCCCAGTGTCGCCAGGGTCACCAGTGCCGCCAGTGTCACCAGTGTAGAAGTGTCGCCAATTTCACCAGTGTCACCAGTTTCACCAGTGCACCAGTGTACCAGTGCCACTAGTGACACTGACGACACTGGCGGCACTGGTACATTGGTGACACTAGTACGCTGGTGGCACTGGTACACTGGTATACTGGTGACACTGGTGCACTGGTGAAACTGGTGACACTGGGGAAACAGGTGACACTGGTTAAACTGGTGACACTGCTACTCTGGTGACACTGGCGACACTGGTGACACTGGCGACACTGGTGACACTGGTGAAACTGGTGACACTGGTACACTGATGACACTGGGGAAACTGGTGACACTGGTGAAACTGGTACACTGGGGAAACTGGTGACACTGGTGAATCTGGTGGCACTGGTACACTGGTGACGCTGGCGGCACTGGTGGCACCAGCGACACTGGGGAAACAGGTGACACTGGTACACTGGCGGCACTGGTGACACTGGTGGCAGTGGCGCCACTGGTACAATGGTGACACTGGTGACACTGGTACACTGGTGCACTGGTGACACTGGTGCACTGGTGACACTGCCGACACTGGTACACTGGTGACACTGGTAAAACACGTGCCACTGGTGAATCTGGTGACACTGGTGAAACTGGTGGCACAGGCGACACTGGTGAAGCTGGTGGCACTGGCCAGTGTACACTGGTACAATGGTGACATTGGCAGAGCCGAAGATTCCCGACACTGGTACACTGGTGACATTGGTGACACTGGCGACACTAGTGACACTGGCGACACTTGCGACACTGGTGAAACTGGCGACACTGGTGGCGCTGGTGACACTGGCGACACTGGTACACTGGTGATACTGGCGACTCTGGTGAAACTGGTGACACTGGTGAAACTGGTGACACTGGTACACTGGCGACACTGGTACACGACACTGGCGACACTGGTACACTGGTTATCCTGGCGACACTGGTGAAACTGACGACACTTGTGGCGCTGGTGACACTGGCGACACTGGCGACACTGGTGAGACTGGTGACACTGGCCAGTGTACACTAGTACACTGGTGACATTGGCAGAGCCGAAGACTCACGACACTGGTACACTGGTGACAATGGCGACACTGGTGACACTGGTACACTGGTGGCACTGGCGACTCTGGTGACACTGGTGACACCAGCGACACTGGTACACTGGTGACACTGGTGAAACTGGCGACACTGGTACACTGGTGACACTGTCGACACTGGTGACACTGGTAACACTGATGACACTGGCGACACTGGTGACACTGATGACACTGGCGACACTGGTGACACTGGTGCACGGGTGCACTGGTGACACTGGCGACACTGTCGACACTGGTGATACTGGCAGAGCCGAAAACTCCCGACACTGGTACACTGGTGACATTGGCAATGTGCGAATAGACACTTCCTAAGATATTTACACGCCTCCTAATCGGTCACACTACAACCACTCATATTCACATCCTAAATGGCACAGTCAAACCACACTGCCCTTTCTGTAACTCAAACGATTTCACGACAACACACCTCCTCATTGCTTGCCCAGGATGGGGACGCCAGAACTGCCATTTCGCCAAATTTCAAACTTTCAGATTTTTCAAAAACACAGATAGTTATAGCATTAACATAATTTGTAAATTTATTGCACAAGCTAAATTAAAGATGTAATTCATTTGCTAAAATTATGTATAAAGTTATACCCTACTCCAATTCACGGCCATCGTTTCCTCATGATCCACTAACCCTCTAACATTTCCCAGCTACCCCTCCCCTCCTCATGCAACTTCTTCGATGAATATGGTTGCATATGTAAACATATAATTACTCTAGTTTAAGTTACCATAAGCCGAAGGCCCTAGCAGCCAGTGCTTATTTCGTAAGTGTAATAGTTATTGATAATTGTTACTCTTTTAAATAAATAAATATTTACAAATAAATAAAACAATGTCGAATTTTAATTTTTGATTCGTATCTTTTAGTTTTAATATAACGGATTTCTTACTATCCTATGACTAACAATTAAAGCTTAGCTCTCAATACTTAATTCTGATTTATGATGTAACCCAATGCACATTGAATAGGTATTAGCACCAGAGCTAAAACAATTTGCTGCGTGTAATGTTGATTTTGTCAAAAAGGTAAGCAAAATATGACATTTTAGAGTAAAATGTGTTAGATTAATATAACAAGTTAAAAATTAAATGCACGAAAAAAAACAAATTAGCTGCTCTGCTGTTGCTACCTGTTCAACTTGGCTTGGATGTAACCAAAATTGTATTATCTTTTACATTTAATCGTTTGAACTGGATCGATAAAACAATTTTCTAACCGAAGTTAAAAATTATATGTAATTGAATATCAGTCGCATTCAGAGTACATTTTTAGTTCCATTTTATTATAATTGAAATTCTTCGATGTCCATAACATTAATAAAATTATTTACTGCGGTGCAATTATTCAATAGTGCTGTAATAATTTTATGGGTAATAAATTTCATTAACAATTTTCTACGTACATATAACTATATGTATATATGTATATGCATATTTACAGAAGTTGTATTTTGCACAAGTAAGTCAAGCTTAAGTATAATTGATTTTAAGTGGACTGTATAATATTTTAAACTAGCTGTTAAACGGAATCTTAAATTAAAAATTATTATCTTTTTCGTTCAATTTGCGTGCAAATTGTGCAAGTCTTTTAAGTCCGTTTTTAATATCAACTTGGAGTACATTTCCTTTTTTAACCGACTTCCAAAAAAGGAGGAGGTTATCAGTTCGTCGGAATATTTTTTATTTATTTATTATTGTTTTTTTTATGTATGTTACCGCATAAATTTGGACCACGTCAATTCTTTTTGCATCGGAAAGATAGTGTCTCAGAGGTGGTCCCATACTAATCTGGTTAAGATCCGATCAGTGGATCATGAGATATATATATATATATATATATATATATATATATATATATATTTATATGAGAGTTGAAGTCGGTTTTTTTTGCTATTAATTACTTGTTTACATATCAGTTTGAACTCGAAGTTCAAAAACCTTTTATTTATGTCATCAAGTAGATATGAACGTCAGACTTCTAGGGCTGGGACTATCGGGTTACTCGAGTATCCGTTCGGATATTCATGTATATGGATAAAAAATAAAATGGATAATATCCGTTCATTTAG